GTGGCCACAGATTTACTCTGATTCCTTATATTAGTGTTCATTTTACAGTCATGTTCTGTGGGAAGCTCATTCCTGTGTTGCACAATGCCCCACTGTCGTTTGCCCTCCATGTGTGACCTCGTTTCAGGCGGGACCAGATAGACGCGGCGGCGGATGACCCTCCACCTCCCTCCACTTCTCTTTGATTTAAAGTCTGATTCAGCGCAGCGTGTTGCAACAGGCAGCCGCACCCACGTCTCACTCCAATCCGCTCAGGAATCACCGCATAATGATTTAGCAGTGACACAGAAAAAAAAAACAAAACATAAAAAACAACAAAACTCTGTCTGACGCGCTGAGCCTGCTGGAACATGTGATTAGAGGTTAGTGGGTGAAAGCGGAGCTCTGTGTGACACCGAACTCAAAATAGCTGGCTGCTCTTGCCAAACTTAGCAGCTGAGAACCCCTCCCCTGTTTTAAAGGGGACCAGCGCTCAAATCGACAGCTTTCAACGTGATCCTAGAGGCTTTTTGTTTCCTTTTTATTTATTGTTTCTCCAACCAAAATGGGAAACGCTTCCCAAAAGCAACGAGACGTGGAAAAGAACGTCACCTCGTCGTGTCACTGTTTAGAGCAGAGGCTGAAGATGGCAGCATTAGTCATTGATTATACCTTTAATGCCGAGGTCAGGGATGCTCGAGCCGCAAGGTATGACCGGCATTTTGATTGCATTTCCACAAGCGGGTCGGACCTCAGAACCAACTTCCCTTCACGGACCCGTTTCGACTGCTCTGCTCCACCCTCACCCTCCCCACCGCTACACCTTTACAACCAGCGCGAAAAATACTTCAGCAGGGTGTGGAGGCCCTTTGGTCCCTGCAGACATGTTGATGATTTTTTGCAGTGTGTTTGATTTGGACGTGAAAAAATGTGGCAGAAAGCGAACACTGCATTTCCCCATGAATTAAACGGTGGTGGCTGTATAGTTCTGTGGGATTCTTATTGGAAATATGTACATATTTATGTTTTACTGTACAGTCCTTCCCCGTGTTGGCAGGAGGGGAAGCTGTGATCCAGTTTGACCTCGTTCTTTTTGAGCGTCCCCACAGCATGGTGCTGCCACCGCCGTGCTTCAGCCCGGTGTTAGTTTCAGTTTCGGCGTGAGTTGAAAGGTGATTTCGATCCGCTCTCGTCGTGGCATGACCTCGCGTGTGTTTTCAGGCTTTAAGGAGGGATTCTTATAGCTTTCAGCGCTTTTTAAAACAAGCTTCAGTCGGTATCAGCGCTTTAGCAAAGAACTCGTTTGGCCACAGTGCAAACTCCACCCTGCTTTATGATTTTAAAAAAGCACCCAATCAGCAGTTTAATCGAGTTCAGACACGTTTGGGTGAAGTCGGATTAAAAATTCTGCTTCCTTTGGCTTTTAGTTTGCACTGAAACCCCTTTCTGTCTTCCCTCAGAGAGAGTGCATTTCCATCCATGTGGGCCAGGCCGGCGTCCAGATGGGCAACACGTGCTGGGAGCTGTACTGCCTGGAGCACGGCATCCAGCCCGACGGCCAAATGCCCAGCGACAAGCCCACCGGCGGCTACGATGACTCCTTCACCACCTTCTTCAGCGAGACCGGCACCGGGAAGTACGTTCCCAGAGCCATCTTTGTGGACCTGGAGCCGACCGTCATCGGTGAGGCCTCTCACTGCCACGCAAGGCGTGTTGAGCTGCAAAACGATCCCTGTTTTTGTTGTGACTGAAACAGGAATGCCAAGGTGGAAAGGAACAAATGTTTGTTATTGAGTGAAACAAAAGGTAGAGAGGGTGGAACAGTCAAGAAGCCGTTTTGTGTGTGTGTGTTTTTTTTTTTTTACGGGTGATTAGTCTGAGAAATACTCCAGGAAGAAGCTCGAACATTTCCCATGATTAAAAATGGTTGGAGGAGAATTCAGAGCTTGAAAAGTCCAACATTTTGAAAGACATTTTGTCTCAGAGGTTTTCCAGAAAAGGTTTGAGATTTTTGAGTGTCGGGTAGAAAATGTTGGACTTTTGAAACTCAAAACGTCCTCGAGAAATGTTCTCTCTCCTCGCTGTACTTCAGCTTCCATCGGCTCCAACCATCTTGCTTTAAAATAACTTCACTCCGGGATGTTGTCTTGTTTTCCCTTTGTCCCTCTTTCTCTTCTACTCTAATCTCGCCTCTTTCCCTTTCTTTTTTTTCTTCCCCTCTTTCCGTTTCTTTTGAGAGACAAGAATCGAATCATTCTGCTTTAGCTCCACACATTTCACTTGTTATTAAACCAACTGAATTTACTTGCTTGCCCTTCCAACATCCACTCATGACTCCACACTTCCACTCCCCCACAGCGTACAATGTGCTAGTCATGTTTCAGTCACATGGTTAAAGAAGCATTTGAAATAGTATTGAAAGCCAGTGTTGCACAGTACTAACCCTGTTTCTATGTCTTTTTTTTTTTTTTTTGTGTTTTTTTTTCCAGACGAGGTCCGAACCGGAACCTACCGCCAGCTGTTCCATCCCGAGCAGCTGATTTCAGGAAAGGAGGATGCTGCCAACAACTACGCCCGAGGCCACTACACCGTCGGGAAGGAGCACATAGATTCTGTCCTGGACAGAATCCGCAAACTGGTAAGGAGAGTAAAGCTGACGCAATTTATCAAGGGCCAAAAACAGCTGAATAAGCCGCCAGCCCTGGAGGTGGTTTATCACACCAGCGATTTGAATTGACCCACTAATCTACATTTCGAAGTCAAAGACCAGACATGAGTTTTGATAGGCCGTTAAGTCTTAAAAACCCTCCAATGTAGGTAAATTGAAACCAGTTCTGGAATGAGAAGTGGGCAAAAAACGATTCCTTAGCAATTTGCATTACTACTTGCCGATGCTTGCTGGCCCCAAAGAGTTTGAGGCAATCGTTTTTCCACATTGAACATGGTTGATTTGGATAACTAAATCATTAGAAAATCTGCACTTTGTTTAGGCACAGCTGCTGTGCCACTTTGACTAGGACACACCAGTCTTTTAGACTCTCATTGTAACTCGTAACTTTCTTGTCCAGTCTGACCAGTGCACTGGACTCCAGGGGTTCCTGGTCTTCCACTCCTTCGGAGGAGGAACCGGCTCTGGCTTTACCTCTCTGCTCATGGAGCGGCTCTCGGTAGATTTTGGCAAGAAGTCCAAGCTCGAGTTTGCCATCTACCCGGCTCCTCAGGTCTCCACAGCTGTGGTCGAGCCCTACAACTCCATCCTGACCACCCACACCACCCTGGAGCACTCCGACTGCGCCTTCATGGTGGACAACGAGGCCATCTACGACATCTGCCGCAGGAACCTCGACATCGAACGCCCGTCGTACACCAACTTGAATCGCCTCATCAGCCAGATCGTCTCCTCCATCACCGCCTCCCTGCGCTTCGATGGAGCACTCAACGTAGATCTGACGGAGTTCCAGACCAACCTGGTGCCGTACCCTAGAATCCACTTCCCTTTGGCCACATACGCCCCAGTCATCTCCGCAGAGAAAGCCTATCACGAGCAACTCACTGTGGCGGAAATAACCAACTCCTGCTTCGAACCGGCCAATCAGATGGTGAAATGTGATCCCCGTCACGGGAAGTACATGGCCTGCTGCCTTCTGTACCGCGGCGACGTCGTGCCCAAGGATGTCAACGTGGCCATCAGCAACATCAAAACCAAGCGCAGCATCCAGTTCGTGGACTGGTGCCCCACTGGCTTCAAAGTGGGCATTAATTACCAGCCTCCCACTGTGGTTCCGGGTGGCGACCTGGCCAAGGTGCAGAGAGCCGTGTGCATGCTCAGCAACACCACGGCCATCGCAGAGGCCTGGGCCCGACTCGACCACAAGTTCGACCTGATGTACGCCAAGAGGGCCTTCGTCCACTGGTACGTCGGCGAGGGGATGGAGGAGGGAGAGTTCTCAGAGGCCAGGGAGGACATGGCCGCCCTGGAGAAGGATTACGAAGAGGTCGGCATCGACTCCTACGAAGAGGACGAAGAGGGGGAAGAGTATTAAAATGAGACGCATCTGGAGAATCCTCATCCATAGCCTGGACGAGCGCCGAGCTGCTGTCAGCGGTCGTTTGCAGACTGTTGGTTAAACACTGTAAAATGGCAGTTTAAACAAGCTACATCCCCATGGTGTTGGGTTGGGTCAAATACCCAAAACAGAAAAATGTCTTTTCTAATAAAGCTGTTTACACCAACATCACACGTTTCACGCGTTTCTTGACATATATATATTTTTTGTCACACTAAAATGACTTACCTTTTTTTTTAGACTTTTTTTATACGTTTATCTTTGTAAGACAGACAACTGTTTGTAAGAATGAGCAAACTATAATATGAGGATGTTATTAGGATAATGAGGGGAAAAAAATAATTACATAACAGCTCTTTGGACGAGATGTGGGTGTTTGGCCACAAGATGGCAACATGCTATTACTATGAAAAGGCCATTAAAGTATGATAGAAAGAGGAGATGTAAAATCCACAAAATTAACTGCATACAAGGCATTACTTATGCCACCAAAATTCTCCATATGTATTGAACTGTGTAAAATTAATTTTCACTCCATATAATTTTAATAGCACTCAAAAGAAACATCCAAATATTATGAACGCGCATTAGAATGTGTCACATTTGTTATGGCTCACCGAGGTAATGACCAGCAAGGAGAATAAAGTTAATGAAAAGTATTCATTACCATTAATGATTTTTATTGGGGAATTATTAGTGCTGCCTTGTACTGTTTTTTGTTTTTCTTTTTTTTTAATGCCACCCATCTGAAGGCTCTGCTAGAGGACATGTTCTATCTAAAGTTTTTCCAAAACCAGGTAGAAATGTTACTTTTTTTCCCCTCCTGTTCAGAAACTACGAGCCACTGGCTTTTATTTTCTGTCCCTCCTCCGCAGACGAAGCCTTCTCATTGGCTCGGTGTAATCACGGCGGAGTCTCGCGAGTGTTGGACGCGGGACTTAGAGAAAGATTCACGAAGGACAGAAGGAAAGCTAAATGCAGTGACGGTTCACCGAGTTGTACTTTTACTTCCTTGCCAGACAGCTTTGAATCGCAACTCAAGGTTAGTACAGTCTAGCACAAGTTAGTTTAAACATTTTCTACAGGTGAACGCCATCTTACATTTCCATGGAACAAATTCGAGCTCTTACTGACAGCTAGCATAGAATCTTTAGCCACATAAATAGTATTAGCAATACTAAAAAAACCTCCAACTTATTTATTGTTGGTGATGTAGTCACTAACTAGTTATATAAAACCATCTTTATTTAGTTGAGTTGTTAAAACTATTTGTTAGTCCTGTTACACAGAGGGCGACCGAGCGCCTTTTATTTTGATAGTCCCTTTGCCGCTTCCTGTGTTTTATTTTGCTAATCATTAAGCGCAGCCACTTCTCGAGCGTCAGCTGCGAGTAAACAACCGAGGTTGCAAGGTATTTAGTGTTTTATTGTTTTTCCTAAAGTCCTCCCTGTTTCAGTTGTATGTGAAACCTTTCTCCTCCCACTAATCATTTAATGACGTGTCTGGGTGAACCGGAAGTGTTTGTAACACTGCTATTTGCTATTAGTGAATAGTAAGTATTAGTGACAGCCATGTCTGACTTCTTCCTAATGACCGTGTTGCTTCTAAAATGACCCTGACATGGATAATAGTCTGAATTTTCTCATAAATTTAGTTTTCAATCAACTATAAGCAAAACTACTTTCAACCACTTTTTCCTTACAGCCAACTTTCCGTAAATAATTCTTGGTTACAGCTGTATTTTTTTCCCCCCTCTCTGTTTTTAGCCCATTACATAACCCTTCTGTGTTAAAAATAATTTTCCTTTGTGACTAGTCTAATATAAAAAAAAGAGGAATATAATTTTTGGTTTTCATTAGAAAACCATTTATTTCAGAAATTCTGATTTGAATTTTTGAAGCAAATGGCTAATTTGAATTAGCATGACCGTGAGGAGAGGTGTGACTGGAAAAATTTGATTTTTTTTAGGTTCTTTATTTGCACCGATTGAAGTAAAAACAAAAACGTGAAACTTTCGTCAATCTTTAATAAACAGCAAGACAAAATAATAATAATAAAAACAAAAAAAAAAACAACAACCTTATCATTCATTAAAAACCCACAGCAGTTTCCAGACTTAACAAGATTTGTCTATGTAGGTGTGAATCAGCCATTTCATATTGGGGGGGGGGAATAAAATAAAAAATTTGAGTGTCCACATGTAACTGGTCAGAACCCTCGCCTCCGCTCCAGTCACGGCTGCTACGAAGCTCCGAACGCCGAGCGGACGTCGAGGACACTCATCCTGTGATTAGTGGCTCTCCTGCGAGGCGCTCGGTAATTGTGCGACTTGCTCTCTTAACCACAATCGTACAGAGCGGTTCACTCCGCTGCTGTGGACGCTCGCTGTGCTTTTAATTGCAGAGCGTCGTGGGCTTGCGCTTTAACTAGGCAGAGCACGAAGCCCTGGAGGAGGTGAGCCAACGCTGCTGGAAATTTTCACTGCACGAAGAGGAAATTAGGTTCAAAAAGCAAAACACTCCTTGGGTTTTGACGTTGGAGTAATTAAAGGGACGTCGGGGGACTCGAAAATAACAAGAGCTTACACGAACCGTAAAAAAGCAAAACAAAAAATAAAAAACTGTTGAGTTTTACAGCAAAATATGTAAGATTGTCACCTGGACTCAAACGAAAACACCACAAAACTGGTGTGACATTAATAAATATCTACTCTTAGAAGTAATAAATCTGTACAAACACCCAGAAGACTGTTAAGAAAACACACATTAACCTCCAAGATTACACATTTAGTTAGCGCTGATGCTGTGTACAAGCTGGCTGAGTTGCCCCACAAAAATGTAATAATAAAAATAATGTGATAAATAAGAACAATAAAAATGACAGAAGCTGTTCTCAAACATTCCTGAAATTGATCATACTGGTTTAAAATAATTATTGAGCTGTGTTCCTAAATTTCAGAAGGAACTTTGCGTCATAGAAACGAACATTGGACTGATTGCAACTTGATTTTAAAGCTCGATTGAACTTTGAAGAAATCGGAATGCATGTATTTGGAATAAAAAGTACACAAAACAACTGCGTTTCCTTTTTCAGACAGTAGATTTTTAAAACATACATTTGAAAATATGGAATTGGAATTGTAAACAATTGCATTGGAGTGGGGCTGCACAGTGGCGCAGTTGGTCGCGCTGTTGCCTTGCAGGAAGAAGGTTCTGGGTTTGATTCCCGGGGGTCTTTCTGCACGGAGTTTGCATGTTCTCCCTGTGCATGCGTGGGTTCTCTCCGTGTTCTCCGGCTTCCTCCCGCAGTCCAAAAACATGACTCTTAGGTTAATTAAGTCTCTCTAAATTCTCCCTAGTTGTGTGTGAGTGTGTGCATGCGAGGTTGTTTGTCCTGTCTGTCTCTGCACCAGCACCTCTTCTAACCCCACTCGGGACAAGGGTGTTAGAAAATGGATGGATGGATTGGAATGTCAATGGTTTAGCATAAGTGATCATAGAAAACTTATTCTAGAAATGGCATGTCATTCAGCAGTAGTCTTTAGTCAGTGGCTTCTCCAGATTTGATGCAAGACTGCCTGCTGTCAGAGGAGCTTTTGGCTGACAAATCACAATTATTGTTTAAAGCTGCAAATATGAGTTACAATATTTAATTTCACTTTGGGCTAAAAAAAAACCCCTGTATTTTTGAAGTCAAAAGTGTATTGTCCTATTTCAGTGAAAACATATTTTTTTATGAACGTTATATAGTTTTAATTTGTTTGCGTCTTAATTTGTGGATGTTTAAAAAAAAAAATCATAACAGCCAGTTTTATGGATTTAAATTCAGCAAAGTTTGACGAATTTTGAGTGAACTTGACGCTAAAACAAAACACCCAATGATGTTCCACCTTACAAATACTATCTCAGCATAGCTACTCTGTGACCATAAATAAGCAAACTGCAAAACAATCCTAAACTTATACATCTCTTATGTTTAGAAATAATAATAATAATAATAATAAAATCCAAAATGCTAATAAGAAGTGCCAATGCAATCCAAAAGTTTACAGAGATTTCTGTTTTCGTTTGAAAAACGTTTTGGTCACCTTACTCTTCCTCTGCTTCTGAAGTTGTCTTCAATCAAGTGTACAGCGCCCCCTCAAGGGAATTTAAGGAAGTGACCTCAGGAGAAAAAGGCCTGATTCTTGTACTTTCAGAACATCAGTCAATTAACGTTTCTTTCCAATTTTAGTCTTTTGGTTCCTCTTCTTTGAAAAAGGACCTGAAGACACTTATTTCTGTCTATTCTATTGTAAAAAATACTTTGGTATTGAATATTTAAACTAAATAAATCAGGAAAATGTCACTAAATTGATGAACCAGCTTGACGGGGACAGCGTTTGTGTTGAACTTCGGCCTTAAAACTCCCAGTCGGGTTGATGACAACAGTCTGGCTAACAACACTGAATGTACAGCAGCTGGACTGAGAGCGTATTGGATGTGTCTGATATGTCACACAGAAACTGATTTTGTCCGTCAAACATGGCGCTACCGGCTTAGAACAGACACATTTGGTCTTCCGCCGACGTTGATGCTCCTTTCACTCGTCGTCCCGCTGTTCGAGCAACAACGACGCGTCAAGCAAGCAGCCCCTGAAATATCCGATGAGAGCGTGAGTCAGCTGAATCCGGCTGCGCGTCGACAGGAAATGGCCTTCGTCCGGGTAGATCTGAGTTCGGCAAGGGATGAAGAAAAGAAAAATAAAACAAAACAAATTCAGTCACAGCCTTTTCTGCCCAGTTCAAGAAACTTCAGAGTACAAACACGAGGGGTTTCTTCTTCTATTATTCTGCTCAAGGTTTATTATCTGTAGATCTTCACAAAATGTCCTATTTGACAAAAGTACCACATTATCGACGTGGGGAGCTCAGCTGAAACACATCTACTTTCTATGTTCCCTTCACATTTTGCTGAAAGTGCATCACTGTTACTGAGATAGATAGAGAAATATAAAACTACAGTTTTCTCTGCCTTACAAATCTAAATATTTCAGAGGTGCCAGCACAACCATAGGCAAGTAGAGTCAGCGCTTCTCCTGTCATCCTGTTTTATTGAAAGTTATATGTTGATGCGAGGTGTTTAAAATCTCATTCCATGTTCTGCTTTTTAATGCATTCTGCATTGAAAAGAGGCGGTAATTACCTGCATAGTGTAGTTGGCTCCGATCTTTATTAAATGTTTAATGAGCTCGGCCGAGTGTTGGAAGTGAACGTTCGCTGTGGACGAAGACACAACACACTTCCATGTTAAATGATATTTGTGACACGTCGCAGCAATAACGGGACTTTTGAAATCTGTTTCCAGGATGGAGAGGTGAGGGATGTTGGTACCGTCAGCGGTGCCGTGGGCCAGAAACAGAGTTCCTCCCTCAAGGCCTTTCATGCCGGGCAGCACTTTGGACGCCTGAAAATGAAACGTAAGTAAGATTGTCGAAGCTGCATATTAAAAATACCACTGGAAATCCAGAAGCTATTGGATGAACTTATAGAAATTGCGGAGAGCATCACCTCGGAATCAATATCGATGTTATGTAAGTTGTAGGGATCCGTTATCCTTTCGACTAATTGCAAATAAGTATAAATACATGTAGGTTCAGAAATGAAAGATATATCAGTTTAATCTGGGAATCTTTGAATGTGGCTATGAATATGGTTTCCGTAATTTAAACGTTAAAATATGATTTTGTTTTCTTGCTACTGCCACGTCAGAAAACTGTTTGCTGGTGTTGGTTTTTCTTTCCAACTTTCCGATTCCTCCGACTAGCAGCATTGAAACGTCAAATTTATCCGACGCGTTTTGTTTCTTTTGTAAAACGACGGGCGAATCAGGCCAGAGCTTCCTGTAAACCTTCAGAATAAAAGCTTTAGGTTCAATAGCACACATTCTAAAATGTGAAGAAACATTTCGGGACAATTAAATTGCTTAAAGCATATTTTTTTCTTGGAAAAACACAAAAGTCTTGATGTATGAGGGCTCAACCTTGTTAATATGCATAATATATATGACCATTTTTATTATTATGAATACTCCTACAATTGTAATAATGTTTGCATATAAATAACTGATGAATTTACTCATAATAATTATTAAGTTTATGTCAGAAGCATAAAATTTGCTCACAGACACCTAGAAATTGGGTTTCTTATTTGGCTGAAACCGAAGAAATTTGTAAAATGTATTAATTTTTAAGGTTAAGCACCGGCTCACACCTTTGAGACATCATGCAGACTCCTTGAAGCAAAAAGCCAGACACTATTTAGGATTCCTTCCTCTTTGGGGGGGATGATTAGTTGCAGAGCTAAAGGAATTCCCAACTTCTCACTGCCATTATTCACTTACTCCCTGCTGGGATTTGGACCTGAAGACATCATGAATAAGTCATCCAGCACCTGACTTGTTCATACTCTGTCACTCTCAGCGAAACGAATTTCATCTGATCAGATCAGTGTAACATTTCCCCCCACAATGTAGCAGTTTTTTTCTGGATTTCATTTAAAGCAGATCTCCCGCCTCCTGCTGCGCGAGACACAAAAATAGAGCAGACTGGCCCAGTTATAAGCAACCCACTTAGCAGGGAAAATACACCGCAACCTTCACGCAGAGGGCAGCCCAGGGACCTGAAGATGCATAAAACGCTCATTGTTATCGCTTTTAGGCTAAAGGTTGCACCAAGGATCCAATAAAGGACGACAATCAGAACCATGAATCAAAATGTAAACAGGTCAGCTTTCAGGTGTTGGGATGACGTTGAAATTGTGATTAATTCCAGCGCCTGCCTCTTTCATCGTCCTCTGGACAGAGCGTTTCACCTTTGACCCTGTAACAAATGCTCCAATGATTATTAGATTCGTGGGATGATCAGTTCAGTGTTTTGGTTTGTTTGTTTCTGCAGTTCATAAACCTGAAGGGAGACGAAGTAGGTATTTGCAGCTCGAACCCCAGATTTGAATGAATCTCCACTGGGACATACAGTAATAAGCAGCAGGATTATAATTAGCAAAAAGCTTACAAGGTATCTGCTATCCTCTGTTGAAGGCAAGCCGAAGTATCTCTCCGAGAAGGCCGAGGCTGAAATTGAAGCAGAGAGAGGTTGATTAAAGGCGACTCAACGACACACTTTTAATAAAAGCAGGAGCTTTTCATGTTAGAGTTTCTCTGAGCCCAAATCCCCAAACGCAGAGCCAAAGTATAATTAAAGTCTCCCTACCCTGATGAGGCAAATGAGAAAGTCTACATTCAGAGGGCTGGTGGTTCTGCAGCGCAGGTATTAAATATGTATTTTTCCCCAAAGTTTTGTCGTATTTCACCTACCGTACATGGTCCAGTCGATGATGGGAGCCTGAGCAGCTGCACATCTTATCAACCGTCCTGAATCCAGCATCATCAGAGTGATGTAACCCCCATAAGCCTGCAGAGGAAAGTCAGTTATGGGAAAAAAAACAGAAAACGGGCTTTACCCTGAAACCTTGAGTTCAAATCAGCATGTTTAAAGTGAGAAATTATAGAATCAGTAGGCTTTCCTAACCTGCAGTATATCATTCAGTACTTTGTGGGAGTTAAATGAAAATTCATATCAATTTTTCACTGTTACAAAAACAATCGTTGCTTACATTACCAAGGGTCTGCAAACTGCAGCTCCGAAGCCACGAGTGGCTCTTTCCCTTCCATAATGGATCCTTACAACTCTGGCTTAAATTCAATGACAAATGTGCATTAAGGCCGTCATTTTATTTGAATACCAGCCATGCTGTTTTAGAACTATTTTTTTCTGTCATTAAGTTTATTCATTTTTCATAAATGTACAAATCCCACTGCAGGAAACATATCCATCCTGTTTTCTGCAAATGTTTTTAATGTTTTTCTTTATCTTAAACCCTAAAAACAGAAATAATATATATATATATATATATATATATTAATTTTTTTGTCACCTCTGAAGAAGCTGCAGATGTCTCCTATAGAGTGAATTATTGAAGTATAGCCGGACAGACGGGACTAACCTGTCCATAAACTCCAATCCGAGTCTGATCAACAAATGGCAGCTTCACCAGGAATCTGAACAAAAACAAAACAGTTGCATTACAATAGCATTCGGCATATTAAAGTCAGATCAGGGTCAGAATAAAAATAAAAATGAGAAACAATACAATGGCAGAGTCGACCTTCTGCTTCGTGTCACGTTGGATTATAGACCTAATAAACTACAAAACAAACATGCAATCGTTTGTTTTGTTTCTGCAATGCAGATGTTTTCGACATACTCCAGAGCCGCGATCTGGTCGTCGACGTCCACCGTCCTGAGTCTGTGGTAAACCTGCTCAGGCAACCTGGGAATACACAAGAAAACTTGTCAGGAAGAAAAATATAGATCAGCAGTGCTATGAAAAAGAAAAAGACCAGATATTGTTGCACCTTTGACCTCTGAACCCAGGTCCTCTGCCGTCCAGCTGAGCCACTATGACCTGCTCCGATACGGCAAGCACCAGGTCCCAATTCAAGCCGAATTTCTCCGTCGCCGCCTGTTCGCCTGGAGCGCTGCCTCTGCCAAGAAACATTTCTGCTTTACTCACTGCTCGACTCTGACTCTATCTTTTAAAGTGACGGAGGCACGAGAGTCAACTTCTCTCCTACTGCTCAACATTAAGATCAAGCTCTGGGTTTCATTTTTTACGCGCAATATTTGCCACATTAATTACCTCATCGATTCTTTTATTATTTCTATTATTATTGCCAATATTTGCAGGATCAGTCCTCCAAAGGAAAGAATGAGTTCCTAAAAAAAACAAAACAGGCTAATAATTGATTGCAGAAAGAAATATTCTAGAAAGAAATGAGAGAAGGGAGAAGAGGAGCTGGAGAGATTACAGTCGCAACCCAAAAGGTTGGGGAGAGATGCAACTGAGAATGATGAAAATAATATTAGCAGTAGCTCATGGAGCCATCAGATGCAGCTATGATGAATCGAAAAGAATAAAAGGAACAGTAATCAAGGTCTTCAGCTAAAATAGGAATGTGGAGAATCTTCGCCTGTGTCACTTTTTCCATTGTGCACTTCTGGATTCCTTCACGGTATCGTGTGTAATCTATGCACATAGATCCTTTCCAATGCCAGTCTGATTTTCCGCATGGAATATAAACACTTCATGTTTTTAGCACTCCCAGCTATCAGGGCATATTTACATACTTGCATATTTAAATGAAAGGTGTTTTCTAAGTTGCAGTTTTCTTTAATTCATCCTTTTTCAGTAGTTTAGCTCGAATGATTTTAAACCAAATTCTGGTTTAATCTCCAAATTTTGACTTTGATCCCAGTTTGAGTCAAAATTCAGAGAAAAAAAATAGGATACATATGTATTTTTTAAAATATATGTAACCATCCGCTGCAACAAAAACAACAACACAACAACAAGGATTTGTAATGGGCTCAAACAATTATGGCACAGGTTAAAAACAATAATTGAACAATTTCCTTCGGGAAAATGTACTTCAATTAAGTTGGATTTTCCAACATCTTCAGATTTGGATTGAGCTGATGCAGTAAAAGGAATGATTCACAGTAATGTGCTTTTACAGATCTAATCAGCGTGAAGCCCGAGTAAATTGCCTTTCATCTTAGATTAGTTGCCGTAAAGACGGTATCTAGTAAACGGGGGTTGGCGGGGGAGAGAAGTGTTCTGTTGTCCTTGTCAAACTGAGCCCAGGATCAATGCGGCATCGCAAACATGCAAATGCAATAAAGTACGGAGGGCTCACATGACGAGGAGAAGGCCGTAGAGGTAGGAGTCTGAGAAGTCAGGAGGATAAATGAGCTTCAGAGGCAGCTCTGCGGGAAGAGACAGAAACATTACCTGGTACAGAAGGTGACCCACAGAAGGTTAAGAAGAATGTAAAGTAGGTCGGGACGGATGCCAGGCGCACACACACACACAGAAAACACTCTCATGTCACGTGTGGCTCAACTATCTCATGACGCTCAAACTGTTCAGGGATCATTTGTACCAAAGTTGTCCTGCGTGACATTCAGGAAATCCGTCCTAGACGTCCTCCTGGCGTCCAGCGCAGACCGTAGAGGAACGTTGCTCTCCAGGATGAAGTATGCTGCCAGTGAGAAATGATAACAGAACAACTGTTATTGATATATTGAGGAAATATAATTGGTGTTTTTATTTTTAATAAACACAGAAGAAAAAGCCCCAGAAAACAGCAAAACATAAAGTAAAATGAACAAAATGCACCGATTTGATATTAACGTCTGTATTGGTCTTGATATTGAAACAAAAACTATATTGGCTATTGGTGACAATGTGACTCATATTTCAGTTTCAATTATTTTTAACCTTTTACAGAGGTATTGTGATTTTTTTTTTTATCCAGGCCTGTTTCACCAGTTTATTTATTTTTTATTATTCTGAGCCACATCTCAAAATATCAGATTTTTCACTGGTTATTCTATTTGGGTTTTTTTTTTACCCGCATCATAACACATTTATGTTGTTCTGTTCTCCAATTTGAAATCCCTCTACTTTCACATTCATTTTCAACGCATCTTTTCACGTTAAAATCAACACATCTGTGCCGCATCGCGTTCAGCGGGCATTCCAAAAAAAAACCCAAAAAAACATTTATGAATCAATTAAATGCTGCAAAGCTTTTTTTCGTTTCACAGCAGCTGCGAGGGAGAAAAAAAAAAAAAAAAAAGCAAAAAGCGTAGTTCCGAACCACAAAAGCAAAAACTACTTACAGTCCATGTTGCTGAAACTGAGAAGCAGCACAGCTGGAATACCAGGACCTGGAACATAAACGCAACAGATCAGGCGATTTGCAAAAATGAAAAGCAAACCCAACCTAATTTGAGTTCAATAAAAGTCAAACATTTAATTGTGATCCCTAACCCAGTAATCAGAAACCACTGTTGGACCTATTTCATTCTTAGAGCAAGTCTTTGCTTAAAACTTCCACCATGTCTACTTTCAGAACGATTCTTAATCTTGATTAAGAAACTTTTTGTTTCGGAAACATCTGCGTTCACTGGGCTCCTCATGTCTGCAGAGAGAGGTGAATGTCGAAGACCTTGACAGTGCAGGATGGCGTTCTGCGCGTTTGGACTGACGTCGGCGTCGAAGAACAGGCAGTCTTCCTTCATGTCGCAGGTGAGGCACTCCTTTGAAAATGAGCCGTTGATCGACAAACTGCGGAGGAAACGGGGACCAAAATGTTCCTGTTATCCCTTCTGAAAACGGGTAAAACGAACATAAAGCGGAGTCGATGGCTTCCACCTGTATAAATGTCTCTGTTGTGGCGCCTTCTCAGAGCTCAGAAAGTATCTGTGGGGAGGAAAGCGAAGCTGTTAAACTAGGACAAGGTCACAGATCCACTGCATTTTTCTGGCTGCTAACTCAATAAAGCATCAGTTTGAGTGGGATTTATTCAGAGAATTGCAAAAGATGTCCCAACATTTAGTAAAAAAACCCCAACAAAAATACGACACTTACATGATGTTTTTGCTTTCATCGTAAGCAACGATCCTGATCACCTCCCAGTTTCCAGATGTTAAGTGGCGAACTTCAACCGGGTCGCTTCTCGACTGAAATAGAAAAAAAAGTTGTTGCTGTTTGAGTTTCAGAGTTAGACAAAGAACCAAGGGAGTTAGATTCTGTAACTAATCACTAGATATTCTATAGCAAAGGAATAAGATTCATATTTTCCAATAGGGCTGGATGATGCAGCCGTAAGACCTGATGAGACATCAGTCTATCAATAATGAGCAAGTTACTCAACGGGTTGTTGCTAGCTAACCAAAGAGTGAGTTAGTTGATGCCACTAACCTAGCTTAGCTTGCTATATCTCCCAAAATGCTGTGCGGCTTTCGCTCAGAGTTCAGCTCATATTCTAAACATGATTAAATATTGAACATTCTACCAGATATATTATTTATTAATATTGATCATGCGTCTATTATTGTTGTGGATTTATTGCCCAGCGTGAAATGGGCCAACAACTGATGTCCAATGTTTCTGTTTTTGAGGTTTGGCTTTATTTTGTTCTGAAATGACGATGGAGCTTCAGCTGGAATAAATAGTTGGTTCAGTTCTATTGGTTGTGAATAAAATGTTAAACCGAGGAATCCGACCTGCAGCAGAATATAGGGTTAAGACATGAACCATGTTTCCTTGAAGGGATTTGATTTTAAATTACAGCAGCATTCGTTGGAAAAGCAGCATGGCTGGGATTAAAATCAAAGCTCCCCATGATAAGATCTCCCTGGAAATAAATCCTTTCTTTGCTCTGAGTCTTATTGCCTGGATATTTTCTGCTGCTGGAGGACAGAAACGGAGCAAGAGAGACATAGAGAACGAGGAAACACAGTCTGCTTTCAGTCACCTTTTTAGAGAACATGGCGACGTGGTGGAAGTCTCTGTGCCCTCCGTGTCTGACGGGCATCGTGAGGAAAATCCTGCTCAGGTCCTCCGAGAACAGCGGCTCCTGACTCTGTGGGGGAGAAACGGCATTTACGGCACGAATGCTTCCTGGTTTCGGATCTGTCTGTCCATGTTTTTGGGTGACTCTTACAATAATTTGCCCAAATATTTGCGTTGGTTTAACGCAAATCTTTACTTTTTGCATCATGTGGGTGCTCTTTCTGCAGCCATTTCTCAGGTGAAAGACTTAGAAATGACTACATTTAGACATTTCTAATAAAAACTTGAAATTGTATACTTGCATAAAACTGTCAAAAAATTTTGATTTCTTTATTTACCTGCCTGGTGAGCCATGTGTCTGAGGACTCTTCGTGTCTCTGAGGAAGAAAAAGCAGCTTTTGTTGGCATATATGCAAGATTTAAAGAAAGTACATTTTTTCAAGCAAAACTAATAATAATAAAATACAATGTGAAAGTAAAGAAAAACAGCATAGTACATAAATGAAATCCAAATTTTTCTCATGTATTGTTTGAATCATGCTTGAATGTATTAAATCTTATGTTTTTATTTTTATTTTTCAGAAGATGCATAAAATTAGCTAGAAATACGAGAATAATACAAAAAAGTTACAATAAAAAGCAAATATTTTTAAAAGTCTTTGGAAATATACGCGTTAGGGTATATAAACAAGAAAATACAAGACGATTAGCACATTAAATGGAAATTAAATTATTACAGCTTTCATTTTGTTAAGTTTTATTGTGCTAACTTTTATTTTTGCATTTTCTTTTTTTTAATTTACTTGATATGGTTTTAAAACTAACAAAAAAAAAAAACTGTTAGGTTTAGACCTCAAAACTCGGTTAAAGAGCTTTGCGGCACATTTTTTCTAAAACTACAAGGACACGCGTTCACCAGAGCCAGTCCAACTTTAAACATCATCAAAAAGAGATGTGTTCTTTATTTAGAAAAATACCCTGGCATGCTAAGTCCTCCAAAGCTAATAGAAGCACTCTAGAAGTTTTCTGCTTTTGTTCAGATATCCATGCTAAAGTCCCTGAAATCTTTGGCATAAATGGAAAAAATGCGTCTGGAAAAATAAACATTTCCTGTGAAGATGCCGTGTGAATACTGACTACAGAACAATTTGAAGTCAACTGCAGAAATGTAAGAAATGGGGAAAAAAGCCTAAAGAAAAAACAGCTTGAAAGAAGTGAAAACTTTCAGTCATTTCAAATTTCCCACTTAAAACTTAGAAATCAGTGCAGCATGTTGACCTATGATATTACATTACCTGCAATGTGCCCCAAAAAAACAAAACATGTAATAGCTAAAATTTTAGCTAGCTATCAATCAATCAATCACACAAAAACACAAAGTCATGCAACATAGAATAAACAATACATTGTTACATATTATGTTTCTAATACAATTCTAAACAGGTGTGTTTAGTCGAGATTTAAAGGAAGTCAGGGTTTCTGCTGTTTTACAGTTTTCTGGAAGTTTGTTCCAAATTCTTGGTGCATAGATGCTGAAAGCTGCTTCTCCTCTCTTGGTTCTGGTTCTGAGGATGCAGACCAGAACCAGAAGACCTGAGAGGTCTGGAAGGTTGATACAACAACAGCAGATCTTTGATGTATTGTGGTGCTAAACCGTTCAGTGATTTGTAAACTAACAACAGTATTTTAATATCTATTCTTTGAGCTACAGGGAGCCGGTGGAGGGACTTTAAAGCTGGTGTTATGTCTCTATCTTCCTGGTTCTAGTGAGAACGCGAGCAGCAGCAGCAGCAGCAGCGTTCTGGATCAGCTGCAGCTATTTGATCGATTTGTTGGACAGGCCCATGGAAAGAGTCAAAGCAGTTGGGACATCATGAGGAAACTATTTAATTGTTTACACACAGTTCTTTCAATAACTTTGCTGAGGAATGGGAGGTCAGAGGTCAGCCTGTAATTCTGCAAAAGTGATTTGTCCAGATTGTTCTTTTGTAGCAGTGGTTTGATGACTGCTGTTTTCAAAGCCTGGGGGAAAACACCTGATGTGAGCGATGAGTTTACTATTTGGATCAGATCAGTAGCTATCAGGGTTGCAAAAAGAAATGTTCACATTATTAAAAGCATGGAAAGAAACGCTCAGACCTGGTGGCAGACTCCAGTTGTTGCGTCACAGACCGTCAGAAGCGAGGCGTTCTGGGGACGGTTGACCCACCGCACAGCAAGGCGTGTGTGGTTTATCCACTTCACCATGGTAATGTAGAACTCTCTGATAATCAGATATTATCAGAGAGGATTGGAATAAGACAAAATGACTGCATGTTTTGACGCTCCCAACACTGTGCCGACGTTTACTCGTCTTCACCTGAGTCTGAGCTGATCTGGGGGATGGAGCTCCTGAGTGCTCGTGATGCCAAACAGGTTGACAACAAACAGCTTGACAGTTGGGTTCCTCTGACCGGCCTGAAGTAGAAAGCATAAAAACAGATTAGGCATCGGAGGAAGAAAAAAAAAGGAATGAATGTCTTGAGCCTTTCCTTATTTCTTCCCATTTTGGTTCCAAGCAGTGTAAGTACTAGTCAAAGTCAGACTAGCATAGTATTGTTGCCAGTTGTAAAGATTTGTGACGATGTGCTGCAGACGACGTGTTGGATAGAGTAGGCGCTTCTTAAAGAGACGGAGGCCCAAGTTCCAAGTTTTCACATTTCTTTTCAGTCATGTTTGATTCACACAGCGGTTTTATGACGACAGCAGGTGCCGCCTTTGAGGACAAATAGTGACATTTCATAGCAGTGCTGTTGGCCAGAAAATACATAACTCCTCTCAAAACTCTCCTTTTTCTTCACAAATTTATCAAGAAACAAGAAAAGGTCATTTAATTTGAAAATTCCACAAAAATGAGCATTTATGTATTTATTCATTTTCTTTCTAAATAAATAAATACTCTCTTCAGTTGCCTAAGATTTTACCAACCCTTACCATTGGGTAGGGGTACTGGATGCCTCGGGGATAAGCGCTGCCAGTGAACTGCGGCAGAGCCATGTTGGGCACCAGGCTGTTGTCGATCCTCAGGAAGGCCAGCCGCTCTCCGTCAGGCGACCACCAGTGAGCCAGGTGTGAGTGGAGGATCTCCTCTGACAGAACAAAACTCATTTAAAATCCCCCTTGGTCGTTAATTGTCTGGTTAATTATGCAAGCTGCCCCTGCGAGGAGGCTCCAGATCAGTCGAGAAGAACAACCGACCGATTATATTTTGCTCAGAGAAACATAAAAGCTGAATCGCCAAATGTCCTTCGTCTATTTTTTGCGCCGCTGCTTGTCGCAATCTTTCCCAGACGCTTCAAGAATTGCAGAGGCTTGCTAGTTTTTCATAATTAATCTCTTTAGTTTGTCTCATCTGCTCTCCAGCAGTCTGAGCGGCAAAACCAAAGCTTTGGAAAACTGGATTTTTTCACACTAAACTGTATCCACCAATTGTGACTGCGACAAATTTCTCTCTTAAAGGGTCAATATTATGTAACGTAGATTGGGTTTTTTTCAGCTTTACATTAAGTTGTGTTATTTACTCATCAAAACACATCTGCCTTGATTTTTATTAGTTCTTTTTTTTTCATGAATGTTTGAGAAATACTTGAATCTCCCGTGGCAACCACTCGGTTGTGCAAAACGCCTTTGAGGACGAAGCTCCTCCTCTGAGCTGCAGTGTCTAAAGTTTTGAGCTTTCGCCTCACGGACTCTCCAACTCGGCTCCTCCAGACTAGCCAGGAGCAATTAGCAAACACCAGGTGGAACTGGGCATCTGCTGAGCTCATTATGCAAACTGCTTTTTTTTTTTTTTTAAAGAGACAGAGGCCCAATTTCAAGGCATTAAATTACAAAATAAGTCAAACAATATTTGAGATATGTATCATTTTTTTCTCATGAAGTTGACATAGTTACTTGATTGTGCTATAAAATGTCATTAAGTGGCCTGACAATTAATCTGATCTAAATAAACCCACCTTCATACAGCCAGTCAGCTATCCCGTTGAAAACGACGCCCTCCATCCCAGAGGAGGTGATTCTCAGAGAGCTGCTCTTCACGTCTGACTGATAGTAGATGTTGTTCTCAAATATGTAGATCTGAGGAAGAAGACTGGACTTTATCTTTACTGCTTCAAGAAGGCGTTTGTCCACTTTGGTAGGATTTTTATGGACCACTAATGCCGCTGGTTTGGCTTTGTGCTCTCAGTAATATCTGGAAACCCTAAAACAGTTAATTTCACTGTTTACAAGATGTATAAGAAAACAACTTTTTTTTTTTGCCCACCTAATTCCTCTCAATAAACTCGCTGAGCAGGACAAAATGTAGACGTGAACACAATCGCACTCAGACAGAGAAGGCAAACATGCAATATATTGCTCATATACGTCGAAGCGGCTCCCTCTGAAGAGACGAAGAATTCAGAGCAATAACTCAAGCGAGGGAAACGTCTTACCAGCTGCCGTCCCTGCCGTCCCCAGGCCGCATGCTGGAGAACGGAGTTTTGAACCTCAGGTGGGTTCAGCTCCCATACCTCCCTGATGAGACACAACAACATCAACAACCGCCATCTGTTTCCGCACGCAAGCAGCGACAGAGGAGCCAGAGCTGTTCCCTACCTCGTGTTGATGTTGTACACAATGTAGGACGCCGTGTACGAATGTCTGTACACCTGCAACGACAGCGGAGACGATCACCAAAAGCAAACACTGATAAATCGTCGAGGCTTTTTGATATTAGCCGCTCTGAGTAAATGAAACGGCAAAACCTGAGACGTCCAGGGAAGTAATAAAGTGTATGACAGCGAAAACGCTGCATTCAAATCTTATATTTTAAACTGAATCCACTGAAAGTAAAATCTTTTAAACCTACAAATACTGTACATTATGTAAATGAATTAGTTTGTTTGCCATATACAAGTAATTTTATGCCTATTTAAAAAATATTGTTGAGCAAATCGTCTTCTTGTAGAAATGTAAATAAATGCGTAACCTGTGGCAGGTTTTTCATGAACATTCATAGAGATTAAGAAGCCCGAAGGAGTAGAATATTACATTTATACTCCAGGTAAAATGGAAGTTAACTTATCAGAACTTCAGAGAAACTTTAGCTAAATAAAAAAAGCTGTAGTCCTAAAACTGCATTTTTTCCCCCTAAATGGGAGCGTTGGTACCAACTGTCCCTCTGGTAATCACAACAAAACAATTTAAACATAGATGTAGCTGACATAGGTACATAGATGTAGCTAACATAGATACATAGATGTAGCTAACATAGGTACATAGATGTAGCTAACATAGATACATAGATGTAGCTAACATAGATACATAGATGTAGCTAACATAGATACATAGATGTAGCTAACATAGATACATAGATGTAGCCAACATAGATACATAGATGTAGCTGACATAGATTCATAGATGTAGCCAACATAGATACATAGATCTAGCAACACAGATGTACCTGACATAGATACATAGATCTAGCAACATAGATACATAGATGTAGCCAACACAGATACATAGATGTAGCTAACTTAGATACATAGATCTAGCTAACATAGAAACATAGATCTAGCTAACATAGAAACATAGATGTAGCTAACATAGATACATAGATGTAGCTAAAATAGATACATAGATGTAGCAACACAGATACATAGATGTAGCCAACACAGATACATAGATGTAGCTGACATAGATACATAGATGTAGCTAACATAGATACATAGATGTAGCTAACTTAGATACATAGATCTAGCTAACATAGAAACATAGATGTAGCTAACATAGAAACATAGATGTAGCTAACATAGATACATAGATGTAGCTAAAATGATACATAGATGTAGCAACACAGATACATAGATGTAGCCAACACAGATACATAGATGTAGCTGACATAGGTACATAGATGTAGCTAACATAGATACATAGATGTAGCTAAAATAGATACATAGATGTAGCCAACATAGATACATAGATGTAGCTGACATAGATTCATAGATGTAGCCAACATAGATACATAGATTTAGCTAACATAGGTACATAGATGTAGGCAACACAGATACATAGATGTAGCTAACATAGATACATAGATGTAGCTAACATAGATACATAGATGTAGCTAACATAGATACATAGATGTAGCTAACATAGATACATAGATGTAGCTGACATAGATAGATAGATGTAGCTGACATAGATACATAGATGTAGCTAACATAGATACATAGATGTAGCTAACATAGATACATAGATGTAGCTGACATAGATACATAGATGTAGCTGACATAGATAGATAGATGTAGCTAACATAGATACATAGATGTAGCTAACATAGATACATAGATCTAGCTGACATAGATACATAGATGTAACTGACATAGATACATAGATGTAGCTAACATAGATACATAGATGTAGCTAACATAGATACATAGATGTAGCTAACATAGATACATAGATGTAGCTAACATAGATACATAGATGTAGCTAACATAGATACATAGATGTAGCTAACATAGATACATAGATGTAGCTAACATAGATACATAGATGTAGCTGACATAGATACATAGATGTAGCTGACATAGATACATAGATGTAGCTAACATAGATACATAGATGTAGCTAACATAGATACATAGATGTAGCTAACATAGATACATAGATGTAGCTAACATAGATACATAGATGTAGCTAACATAGATACAGATGTAGCTAACATAGATACATAGATGTAGCTGACATAGATACATAGATGTAGCTGACATAGATAGATAGATGTAGCTGACATAGATACATAGATGTAGCTAACATAGATACATAGATGTAGCTAACATAGATACATAGATGTAGCTAACATAGATACATAGATGTAGCTGACATAGATACATAGCTGTAGCTAACATAGGTACATAGATGTAGCTGACATAGATACATAGATGTAGCTAACATAGATACATAGATGTAGCTAACATAGATACATAGATGTAGCTGACATAGATACATAGATGTAGCTAACATAGGTACATAGATGTAGCTAACATAGATACATAGATGTAGCTAAAATAGATACATAGATGTAGCTAACATAGATACATAGATGTAGCTAACATAGATACATAGATGTAGCTAACATAGATACATAGATGTAGCTAACATAGATACATAGATGTTGCTGACATAGATACATAGATGTAGCTAACATAGATACATAGATGTTGCTGACATAGATACATAGATGTAGCTAACATAGATGCATAGATGTGGCTGACATAGATACATAGATGTAGCTGACATAGATACATAGATGTAGCTAACATAGATACATAGATGTAGCTAACATAGATGCATAGATGTTGCTGACATAGATACATAGATGTAGCTAACATAGATACATAGATGTAGCTAACATAGATACATAGATGTTGCTGACATAGATACATAGATGTAGCTAAAATAGATACATAGATGTAGCTAACACTGGAATCACAAAACATCACTGGTCAAAGTTTTAAAATCCGGTAACATTTCTCCAATCCAGAAGAAATTTCCTGACCCTTGCAAGCCATCGCTTCTGCACAGATAAGCTCAAAAGCCCCCTCTCCATAACTCCTCAATAAGGTGAGCATCTAGTTTGCGACATGCACTGTTACAGTAGGCAGGTCAGATTTAGTTTCCTCCGGTGCACTCTGGCTATAAAGTTGAAAATGTGTTCGAGTCTGCACCAAATGTCAACATGACGGATGCCTTTCAGCTGTTTTCAATCAGACTTTTAAAATACCGGTGAAACACAGAAAATATTTGGGGAATTGGGGAGTTGTCCAACAATATAGTACCCACCATGGCCAGAGGCATTAATTCTTGAAAGCTTGTCCTTGTGGCTGAATAAAAATAATTCTGCAAAGAGTGGGCCGACATTCCAACATAGCAACGTAAAAGAGGGAAAAGCAGTTGTTACTGCCGGAGCCTGCACGAGCGTTAATAACATTTCTGATTAGGGCCACAGTCGGTTCGGATAGTTGGAAATCGTCCTTTAGGAAAGAGCATTTTGTATTTCAGAAGGAACTGAAAGCTTCAGAAAGAGGCGATTGTCTGTTGCTAGAGCAACAAATGAAAATGGAATTTAATTAATTAAGGTGAATTTTAAGGTGCTCTCTTCCTTTCAAATGACAGACTGACAAGCTAAGAAATTATACTGGCAAAGCAATCACTGGAGAGCATGATGTAGAACATACACCCTTTGCTCTATCTGCTGCAGCCACATTTCCAGATAATTGATGGAAAACCTTCACTGTGGGGAGAAAGGAAAGACCGCCTGCAAGTTGACTGATGGCACAAATATTACTGGGCACCCGGTGTTTAAGCCCCACCAGAAATTATGCAAAACAAATCAGCACCTGCTCGGTGCAGGTGGTACAATTTGTTCTCAAAGGGAACTGCAAAAACTCATGAGAGGAGCAACGGATTTATTCAGCCCTCAAAAATCCAAACTATCAGAGCAACCCTTCGCCAAAGCAGAGAAGTCACTTGTCGGAGAAGAGAATAGAGACATCACAGGCGGGTGCCGTGTGTGTGTGCGCGCGCGGGCGTGTGTGTGTTTGCAAATGAGTGATGGCAGCACTGGGTATTTCACGGGAGCACAATGGAAATCTGGCAGGATGTAAAACAAAAGGTGAAAGGAATGGCTGATGACACCCAGGATGATTTGCAATCAAAGCTGGTGTGATTATAATAATAATTTAAAAAAAAAAGAAAAAAAACTAATCACCAGCTGTTATGCATGGAACCTTTTATTTACAGAAATCAGCTCTAATTTGAAGCTCACCTGTTTGACGTCGTATGCGAAGAGTGCAAACTTCAGATCTGGAGAGAGTGAATATTTTGCCACCTTGAAAGACACCTAGAGGTAAAGAGGCGACCGTTAAAACGGGGTTTAAACGGGACGAATTATGTCAGACGCACAAGAAAAGATTTCACTGCAGCGAAACGCTCAAAATTATTCATCAAACTTCAAAGGCTTGGAGCTCATCATTAAAGATGAATAGTCTAAATAGCAGTGAAAACCAGCAAAAAAAATAAAAAAATAGATTCACTAAAGTTATACAATGGGGTTGACTATTGGGAAAGGTTGAAATATTAGCTTTTAGTCATGCCATTCTTTTAACAAAATCTAAATAGAATCAGGCACGATTTTCAAAATTGGCAATTCACACCCTTTTCTTATGTTTGGAGAGATGTCCATCTCATTTCCCGACAGCAATGAAAAAGGAAAATAAGATGGTAGACGAGGACGGAAGAGTTGAACAAAGGCAGGTAGGATGACGGATGAAAGGACTTTAGGGAACAAAAGGAGCCAACCAAATAGAGGCACAAAGAGGAGGGAAGAAAATGAGGGTGGAAGTAAAGCACAGACATGGAAAAGACAGGAAGAACAGAAGTGAACGCATCAGCAAGAAAAAAAACAGGGAAGGAATGGTAGATGGGAAATAAGGAAAAATGATGGAAGGAAATCACCAGAAAAGAGAGAAGTATTGGCAGAAAGTAGAGATGAAAGATGTTATTTGAGAAAGGGATTGACAGTAAAGTCTACAAATACTACTTTATCTCATCTTCATATACTTTTAGATGGAAAATGTTAAAAAAAAAAAATTAAAAAAACTTTTCTTTCCAGGGCAGGGGGAGTGTTTGTGTCCAGAACAGGAACCAAACATGGAAAAGCAGCATGCAGCTTCTACGCACCGCAAATCTGGAACAAACTTCTCCCGGGAAACTGCAAAGCAGCCGAAACACTGATTTTCTTTAAATCGATGCTAAAAACCGCTTACCTGCTTTTGAATCATAAGAAACAAAATATTGTCCGCCACTTTTGATGTGTGTTGATAATTTTTTAACAATGGCACTCAATGCCATCGTACCGATAGCAATGGATTGATATGCTGTCGATTGTATTTTTTCTTGTTTTGGTCAGCAATGTTTTTGTTGTTTGATCAACAATTCATAACGTTATATCCCGGTGGTGACAAATAGATCTGTTCCTAATGACAGGATACATATTTATGATGCGTAGAGAGATCCTGATGCGTTTCGGAGGTTTAGTTCTTAGTTTACATAAATCAAGCGGGAAAAGTTCCGACACATTTCCATCTGTTGCGTCACTTTCGGAAACAAAACGTCATCTTTTCTCCAAAAGTCCCACAGCTTTGAGGAAACGGGAGCAACACTGGCGCCAGCGTTCACCTCCCGTCTGGAGAGGCTTTGAAGCTCTCCAGTGACTCTCAGTGAAACGTGGGTGAGACGATGACAAAAAAAAAATTGGACGATTTGTTTCAGCGCACAAGGATTATGGAACAGCAGCAGAATTAAGACGACGCCAGCAGAAAACGGCTAAATTTAACAGGAAACGTCAATTATTCACTGAGCTGCAACTCAGGATGTGAATGTATGTTCCTGAAGGTAACGCAGCAGCAACTATAGTGGAATATCTGGCAAAGTTTGAGGCAAGATTGTTGGATTGTTAAAGGTTTTCTTGGTTTCACTCTGCTAAATAAATCTCATTTTAAAGCCATACTATTAGTAGAACTGATAATATACTTAAATCAATATCTTCCATCCTCCCTTTGTGTTTTTTTTGCCATTATGTTGCTCCAAGATTGAATGGAAGTTCTCAGCCTGCATAGAATCAACTGTTCGGTAGATAAAACGCAAAATATTATTGATCCCAGCTGAAGTTTGCGCACGACAGCGGCTGAAGAGCAACTTTTTTAGTCGCGGAAATGTGAAGACGACAGTAATGAGAATAACGTACAAACGTGGCGTTCTTCAAGATGGCCTCCGTCTCATTCAGGGCAAAGTTGAACCTGATGACATCACCGTCCCTGTTTCTGTACACCACCTCCGAATCTGCGAGCAAAAGCAGAAAAAAAATATATCAGTTAAAAAAATATAAAAGGAAAATTGAAAATCAGCACAACTTTGTGCTTTAAAACGTCACCTAGACTTATAGACTCAAAAGACAGAAGTGATATACTTCAAATTGTTGTACCGAACAACCCTTCAGATTGCAACAATTGCTTCTTGCATTTAATTGCTAAGGTCTTTCCATTTTGGCATTGTTGATACTCACACAAAACTTTCTGATTTTCCAATACTTACATCATACGTCCTCACTGAGGCGCAGTGCTGTTAGTTTTCCTCTTAAGAAGGGTTTGTTGTGGATCTCTGTATGTTTTTGACGTTTCTTGTCGAATTTGTTTTGAACATTCTGAGGCGCATGTACCTTTTCGTCCTGGCATTGCTTTGAGAAAAATTTGATTGCAATCTAGGTTTTGTTTTTTTCGTGAGTGTTTTTTCACAATTCACTGTTTCAAGATCCTTAAACGTTTTGTTGCGTCTGACTAACCAATGAGTGCTTCCGATAAATTACATCAAAAGTGCAAAATACTCACCTTAATTTTATGAACAATTTGCAACAGTACGAATTTAATAATGAAAATCAACTAGATTAATTCAAAACAGGAGTAACAGGAGTTATTCAATACAAAAAGTCCATCAGAGCTTTTTATGTTTTTTTACATTCTGCTTTGACTGGCCTCTCTATCCATTATAGGTTCAAACAGCAACACACACACACAGTGTCCTGGATCTGTCTCATTGCGGTCCGGTCTGGTCTGGTCCTGGCTGCAGCCAGCAGCGAGAGGCTAATGATATGCAGGGAATAAGGAACAGCTGATTCATACAGCTGCATAGGTCATGTTCATGTCTTTTTAAGAGAGAAAAGAAACAGCAGATGTGTGTTGTTTTTTTTTAACAACTCGTGATTAATTTACACAAGAGCTGAAAGTGTAAAGTCTCTGAGTTTTTCATCGCAGTTTCATTGACTCCCAATAATGTATGTCTTCATTAGATCAATAAAAAGTCTTTACAATTAAAAAAAAAAAATTATAAAAATGCCCACGTTATCGCCTGTGCATTTAAATACACAGGGGCATTTTAAGGTAGCTTTACATCGTTTGTACAAATGTCTTTTAGTGCCCGAAATCCCAGCCTGCATTCTTCCTGTCATATTTGACGCTCCAACGTTTAATACACACCGAAACGGGGATTAGTTTTAAACTCCCTGAGTCATTTTCTGTCATTCTAATCCAGAAGCAGCCGCAGCGAGGCCTTTCTTCGCCTCGCCTCCTTTTGGAATCTCGGCTCTCATTTCGGAGTGAATTTGCAGCTGATTGCGGCTGAGGGAAATCGCTCTCCTGCCACGCGACGGGTTCAGGCTGGGCGTGTGCACTAATGCAGTTGGAAAAAGAACTTCGAATTGTGGATCCACATTTCTCGGTAAGCCGACTGGCGGCGAGGGTTATGTGAAGGGCGCCTCAAATTGCTAGCTTTGCGCCGTTTTTATAAAATCCTAAGTGGAGCATTTTCTCTTGTAAATCAAGGAAGCGTTGTGTTTGCATTCAACTTTGTTGCCCCATTGATGAGCCTACTGAGTTGTGTTGACAGATCCATTATCTTTGATAATTGAGCTTTTTCGGCAGATCCTTTCAGACAGCCTGTTTCAGCTCCAAAACTGGAACAGGAATTAAGCCAGGCTTAACACGAGAAGGTGTTTTGTCCCTGCTGACATTTGTCATACTAAAATTAGTCAGATTCCCAAAAACAATAATAGTATCAGAGAGGTTCTCTGGCATAATCGCCTGTTTAGGATCTTGCAATAATATCTCAGGATGTGACTTTTTATAAACAACGATTATTTTTACATATTTGTGAAAACTGTCCCCATGTTGTGACAGTATAACATGAAATGATAAAAAAAATAATCATTTAAATCCTCCACCTCCTCGTTGTAGTCCTACAGCCATCTGCAGAAATGCGCTGCTTGGTCAGAAACAACCAATCAGAGAAAGGAAGAGGGTCTTGGTGCTGCCAATCAGGCTCGTGAAAGCTCTGGTCAAACTAATGGCGGAGAAAAAAGTTACCATTACAGGAAAACTGTTTACCCATCACCATCGGTGGCCGTGCTAACTAGCTAACAGTGTGTCAGCGAAAGATCCCACAATCCCCTGCTGCATCATGGTCAACCTCTGACACGCCCCAAAACAAAACACGTTGGCTGTTGTTGGCTTTTCAATTTAGCAATGGTTACCTACTGAGAGCTCGCCTCAAAATATCTGCATAAAATTGCGCAAAATTGATAATAGTATTGTATCTGAAAAAAATGTCTACATCATTAAGTACTTTAAAGTGATACGTTCAGCGAGAGTGATGGCTTCAGGTCGAGAAAACTCAGCTCAGGCCGTTTGGTAAATATATGATTCACTATTGATGCGTTTGCTGAGGTTTTTCTAGTGGATTTCCTGGTTCTCTCGAATTTCTTTTTCCAACTGCGTGTGGATTTTCCCCCCTTGTTCTCGGCTAAATCCCATGTAATCTATTCAGAACAAACAATGTAAACTTCATGAATAAATCACTCAGACACAATCCCGGGGTTAGTCTGAAAACACACAGCGATTGTCCCGTTCCCGTGGAAACGCCAGCTCACCGTAGCATCCATAAAGCTGATGAACAGGGAAACAAAGCGTTTGTTTTCAACTCTGCTTTAGTTTGATCTGCCCAAGAGGTGTTGAATCAGATTCCGACGCAGACGGAGAAGAGGGTTTTTCATTCTGGCCTTCACAGTGCGCTGTATTTATTCGGTCGTTTCCAAATTGTTCTGTTTTGAACTTCATCACCGAGCCAGTAGAGTCTGTGATGACGCTGCTGCTGCGTTTTCGGGTTGAATTCCTGCCAATATCGACTCCTGGGAAGCCTGGCGGCTGCTTCCCGCTTGTGAATAAATCCTTTCCTCCGTTTGTTTTTTTGAACTTTCAAAACCTTCCCTGGTGGTTCAGCTACAACAGTTGCTTTTTTACGCTCATTGCTTTTGTGTTTGGTAACCGTAGTCCTGGTACCAAACAGCCGAAACTCCCACTTTGATGAATTTAATAAAGGACGGTTGTTAAATCCAATAATATATTTGGCAACTGCCCCTTACTGATAATTAATATGAATAAAAATGCTATACAATATCAACACTACATGTAATATGATGCTGATGACAACATTTATGTGTTGTATCGCCTCAAAAGATTCGCTGCAAACAAAATCTTAGTTTCGCTCCTGACGCAAAATATTAATTCTAATAATGTGCAACTCTTTAAAATTCGTAATCTTTTTATTAAGACTGAACTCCGCAAGCTTCAGTCTCCCAGCTTGACTCTTTTTCCATGATTACGTTTTCAAAGCCCGGCTTGGGCGCTTCCACGCCGGAGATGCTTCGCGCTTGGTTTCCTGCAATTTATGAGCAGCCATTTGAAGAAATCATTTCATACGCGTCCCCCCAGTACTGTTAAATGTTTGCGCGGCCACCGCTGAGACCCAACTCTGATGGCGAAAATAAGTCTGAGGTTGTCAAGAAATGCAATTTCCACCGGAGGCCTGCTCGGAATTAGAGCTGCAGTGAAGCCGGAGCCGCGTCGTCTGCACCGCCTCTCGGCTTTCATCGCACCTGATGGAAACGACTTTTACAGCACACAGTGCGTCAGGCTGCAATTCCCCCCATTTCATCATCAATCTCAATAAAGCAGCTAATGGGACAGCTGACCCTGTGGGGCTGAAAACAAATCATCACAGCGGCGCAAACGGGCTTCCTGCGGTTTGGACCAGCTCAAAAAAAAATAAAAAATTCATTCATGTTAATGTTATTTCAGATGAAATAAGAACGCATGTCTGAAGTCTAGGAAAAAAAATCTTTTTGTGTCATAATTGGTGACATATGGTGATTTAGTTTTCTTACTTAAACAAGTGAACTCCTTGATGGACTGGTCCGCATGCAAACCGCTAAACATCTAGCTTCAAAAGAAGCTAGATGTTTGGATTCTGCACAAACATTATCATTATGATTACAGAGGTCAAAGGAAGCCAAATTTGTAGATGTGGAAAGCTTGTACAAATTTTTCTACCACACGTTTTCCTTCCACTTAACTTTCCACCAGTATATTTTGTTTGAGACTGTTGTCAAGAGTCTTTCAATTATTATTATTATTATTGTAACATAAATATTTTCAAGAAATTAGTTTTTTTCATATTTTCTATCAAGTTTTTCTTCCACTCAACTTTCCATCAATATGCTTGGATACTGCACACCGTGCACAGCCAGCTGTTTTTAATCAATGATTCGTCTCTGCAATAGAACATTTCTGGATGAAGCGTTCTATTTTTATTTGTCTGATGCAATATTTAGTATTTTGCTTTTATCTGTCAAGATGTCAACATAATGATCTTAAATGTACACCTGATGTATAAAGGAAAGAGGGACGCAGTGATTTTCTACTAATTGTCAACACGACCACAGCTCGATAACAAGGTCCAAGGTTAGCAGGTCAGGAAAACGTTTTCAGGAAGTAGCCCAGTTATGCTAGCTTGACTTTGACAATCTTAACATGCAGATGTGCTGTGGAATTCGGTGTGTTTTGGTTCAGTTGACAAATATAGCATTTTATTAGCATGAGAAATGTTGACATATTTTTGTGTGTGTTGAATCCTGATACACTAGTGGAGCTGGTGTCAGTCGGCGGCCATGGCAACGTATCTGTGCGTCGGGTAGCTGATGCAGAGCGATGAGAAAACGATGAATGCGAGTGTTTTTAAGTTGTTTTATGTGTTATTTTTGCCTTTGCTGTGGTGCACTGCACCAAATTAATAATACCTACATCTCCAGTTCTGCTGCAGTAGTTTATTTTTTAAATATTTTTTATTAAGGGGCGCTGCAAGTTTAAAAAGAGTAAGTCTTCTTGCCCTTCAGCGTTGTGTGCATGCGTGAAATTTCTGGATGTAAACAATAACAAATTCCATATAAGCAGACTTGTCCAACTTGTTTTGTAAAGTGCCTTCACATGAGTTATTTTCTTTGCAAATTGGTACCGTGTCATCATAAACTGAACTGAACAAAGTGAACTAAAAGTGCCACATGAAATCACAATTTAAAATGCAAATCGCGGGACAGTTTGAAATCAACAACAGAGTCGGCAACAGAGAAAATGTTGAAAAACAGCAGCGAGAGCTTCAGAAACCCCACAACGAGCAGAGAGATGATGAAAATCTAACATCCCAGGCTGCAACTTGAGTTCGGTCAGTCGTGACATTAAAATGTAGTTCCACGGGAAATTAGCCCTCATAAATATATTTGCCAACACGCCAGAGTTTGTCAGAGGCTCAACCATCCAATAACAAGAAGCCACAGGCTACAGGCCGAGTCATTAGTATTATCTCCCTGTGAAAGGGAAGGACTCAGCAGGCGCTGGCTCTTTTGTTTCCCTTTGAGAGCAACAAGGCAATCTTTCCCCACTGTCCTGCGCTTTCCACCTTCCCCTCACCTTCTGTCACCTTAGCCAGACTCCACAGAGGCGCTACGGATATATTTAGCCATCAACACGTCTGAACTCGCCACAAAGACAATAATTTAGCTGTCAAGACGTCAAAGAAAAAAAAGAATCCTGCTGTCATTCTTTAAATTGTCCTCTTTCTCCAATAGTTTATTGTCCGTCTCCTCTTTTCTTAAACAGCATTTTTTTTTTTTTTTTTTGACATTAACACAATTTCCCAGTGATGTAGGAGAGCCGGTTAAACGAAACGTTGGAAATTCATACCCAATATGAGCGAGGGAAGAAGGACTTGATATAGATCAAGGTCGAAAATATGATCTTGAGGCGTTGGCAACGTGGCCTGGAGGCAAGCTGAGGCAAGGAGGGTTCATTGTGATGCAAACCAGAAACGTGTTTGCAGCATTTCTACTGATCCCTGACAGTCTGGATCCCTTTGTTCTGTGCCTCACCTGGATGCTTGAGGCGCCAAAAATGCTCCTTTGCAGATCGTCATAGAAATATTGTGCATCAACAGATTGGGTTTTTTTTATGAATGCCATTATTAACTTCCGTCTTCACCATTACCGCCTCACATTTTAACCCCTTAAGAGACAGTTTTTTTGCTATTAAAATTGTACATTTTCTGCCAATGTCTATAAAAATTTTAGACTTAGAAATAAATACTTCGATTATGTAGACATAAAATCTCCAGGGTCGTTTGGAATGAAGGAAAATATATATATATATATATTTTTTTTTTAAGAAAAAATCAACATAAACCCATGAAGGCCGAGGTCTGCATCTGGAAAAAGCGAAAAAACTAGAGGAAGGTCCATCAACCGGGGCTGAACATTTTAATTCCGATTTCCACATTTGGCTTCCAGCCTGAAACTCACCACTGATCCACCTGGCTTCCGGGTCGTGAATCTGGAACTCGGGTTTGAAGAGATCCGCCACGGTGAGCTTGGACTTGCTGCTTTCTGGAGGCTCAGCTGGGAGGAAAACAAGACGACGTGTTTCAGCTTCGCGTGAAAACACTTAACTGCTAGCCAGGCACTGTAAATAATCAGAATAAGACGAATTTGAACGTACTGGGTGTGAGGACGACTACGGACAAAGTGATGAGCGAGCAGACCACCACTATAACCAGGAGAGAGATGGCGATGCCCTTCCAGTTCCTCTGTGGGGGGCTGACATCCACAAACTCCTGCAAACCCAGTTAAAAAGACACAAAAATACAAATAAGAATCAGCAGAAAACTAACCTTTAAGTCAATGACATCAAAACCCCAACGTTCAGAAAACATCCCATCTTTCTGGCCATGAGAGTTTTCTTCGTTTCTGGTTTATTAAATCTGAAGAGCTGTTGTGCTTAAATATCACTCTGTGAATAAATCAGTTATTTTATACAATTTACAAAAAAAAAAACCTTCCAGATGGAAGACCGGGTATTGCTTTGGAGCCATTTAGCCACAAGATAAAAGCAAATGCAATCATGTCTAGACAAAAAATTGTCTACAAAAAGAGCTACTATTTTTTGTTGTTTTTTTTTTTTGTTTTAAATTATATAACCTAAGATTTTGTATGAATGCTTTCAGCTCTTATTTGAAGAAGAAGAAGAAAAAAAGCCATAGCAATCTTTCACAAGGAAGATCTAACCTGCAGTCACAACTCATGAAAGAAAAAAAAAAAAAGAAAGAAAAATTGACAAAAAGATGCAGGCTTTTGGTACAACCTCACATTCCGAAGCGGAAACTGAGCGAAGACATGAGGTCAGGCGCGTTCGGCCGGGGGCCGTAACCGGCACCTGACACACGGCCGTCTGTCTCTAAGAGACAGAGAGATGCTGAGGAAGGAAGTGAAGCTTCGCTCAAACTGGAAAAATGCATCCCAGAGGAAAATTTTCTTACGTTCGAAAAGAAAAAGAAAGGCAACAGAAAAACTTGCCTCAACAACAGCTGAAATCCAACTGCAAAGAAATGGATTTCCTGTTAACATAATCACTGCTGAACATAATTTAGGGATATTCTGTAAAAGAATTATGACCAACTATGTAGTCCTGTTGCGTAAAATCCCCCCAAAAATCTATAAAAGTATGTAGTTGTCACACGGGAAAATGTTTAGTATAAACTACAAGTCGACTCTTAGGTTTGTTTCAGGAACATCAAGAAAACTGCAGCACAGTTTTAGCAAATACAAATTCATCAAACTTGGTATTAAAGATGCAAAACGTAAAAATGCTTCCATGTTTCACCAGGAAATTGAAAATAACAATTTCTCCGTCTCGATCAACGTCAAAGTAGTGTCGCACAGCATATCCCGCACAAACGCCTGATCCCGGCACGGTGGCGGAGGGCTCATGATGTGGGATGAGTACTTTGTTGTAAATGAGTCAGCCGTGAACTGCTCTGTTTGACAATTGCAGATTCAAATGGGAACCAAAAGCGTTCTCCGTTAATGGTGATTAAAAAAAAACAAAAAACATGTAGTTGTTTTGCCTCTTCTAAGTGCGTCCCATTCCAAACGATAAATAGATCTCATCCGGTAGACTGCACACCCAGTTAAAGTAGCATCGAAATGAAAAGCAGGAAGTGAGGTTAGACCACAGCTGGCCGCCGCTCCAACCGCAGACTGCTCCAGGCCACCATTTCAGTACAAACAGCAGCTAAAGGGAGATCGGTTTTCAATTTGCTTTTTTTTTATTTGTCCATACACCTCAGGATATTTTTTTTTATTGAAGTACTATGTAGAATCTAATTGTATTCATCTGTAGAAACCCTCTGTACGAGTTTCTGCCACCTCTATTCTGCATTCAGTCACTTGATTTTCAAACCACAATTGTCATTTAAATGATCTCATTTTGTTTTTTGATGACTTCGAAGTTCAGTTCTTTACATCGATTTGTGACATTTAATTAAGACCGCACAAAAAAAAAAAAAAAAATAGAACAAAAAGTTCAAATGATTCACGAGGACATGCAACATGATACTGCGTCTCAAAAATCTTGTTGACCTCCTATCCTGTGGTGGCGCTGCAGCAAGAACCGCTGACGGAAATGACACGAAAACAACCAAAGACGACTTCCTTAACAAAATGGAAACCCAAAAAAAAAAAAAAAACGGGAGTCGCCATTTTTCTTTTCTCCATCCGTTCTCCTCTGTCAGCTTTGTGTACCGGCGTGTTGATTACTTTGAGCACTGGTGACACCAGTGCTCAAAGCCTCCAGGCACTGGTTGTGCCTGGAGGCTCTTTTATCAGTCAAGCATGAACAGAGACACTAATACTTAAAAGTCCGACCAGCCTATCAACACTCCACTATTTGAGAAGTACTAATCTAAGGGGGGAAATCTGAGTGAAAGGATGGAAATTGTGGTCTAAAGTGGTGATTCCATGACAGACATGCTCATGAATTAAGAGTGATTACAGAGTTGAGAGCAGAAGAGTCACTCTTCCCCACGCCGAGGATAATTGAGGCTCTTCTAACGTCACTTGGTGTCGCGACAATACAGCGTCCCAATAATTGTTTATTTTGCCTTTTATTTCCATCTCTGAGAGCCTAGAGTCACAATTGTAACCATGAACACCAGCTACTCTGTTGGACATGTCAGGAAATGCTTACGTCCGAAAACGGGAATCCTACTGAGTGCTACAGGTGTCACTCGTGCGCTTGCCATTTGAGGCAAAGGTGGGAGTTCAACTGATGAAAGTGCTTTTAAAAAAAAAAATAATAATTTTTAGTCATTTTTTGTTTTTGTGGAAAACACATCGCATTGGCGACTGTTGTTTTGCAGATTAAAAAGATGCTTTTTAAACACTGAAAATGGAAAAGTGTGGCATAATGCTAGCGTTCGCCCTCCTTCTCTCCCTCCAAGACAGCTGGTTCTATATTACAGGTGAAAATCCTAAGAGTGAGAAAATTTCTCAGCCTCAGGGCAGAAAGTGTAAAGCACTCTGCCTTAAAAAGAGGAAATGCAGGACCAAAAAAAAAAACTTAAGTAGCAGAAAGTCTGACATCTTCAACGACCTTTACGGGCAACTGATATGACATTGCTGTTTCTGAGTATTTTCAGGTGTCCAACAATGTCATTCATGGGCACCTGAGTAAGTTCGGACAGATGTGGCGGTTTTTCACTGCCATTCAGTCAGACTCTGATTCAGGTCAGCTTGTTTCAGCGAATGTAAATTCAGGAATGCTGGCAATAGATGTTCTATTCTGTTCTAGATTTCTTCTGCGTTTGGTCGTTCCTCATCCACCTTGTCGCTGATTTGTCAGTATGCTTCGAATCATCGTCCGTTTGTACCCAAGGCTCAACTTGCTTTGACCATACTGGTTTTTTCCTCATCATGCCATCTGTTGCTCCATATTTCATAACCGGGATGCTGTCCTTTCATATACACGTTTTTAAGGTGTTGGGATTTTCGAAAATAAATTCACTCGACGGAAACGTGGCAGTTTTGAAAAAACTCGTTTGTCTATAAAAAGTTCGTGAGAGCTAGTGAGAATTACAATAAGAAGTAATTCACCAGAATTGGATTATATTTGCATTAAACATTAAAAGTTAGAAGACACCTGAGTGTTAGATGTATATGTTTAGCCGCAAATCTTTCACAATATCACTAAAATGATCACTTTGTCATTTTTGACATTTTAAGGAACAATTTATTTTCAAAGAAACATTTTCACCATTGACGTAGCTCTTTTTTTTTTTTTTTAACAAAGTACACCAGCAGAATCCACATAGTGAGGATAACGAGGCGCAGAGCAATCTGTATCACACGCGCAGCTGCCGAGGCGCGCGGCGTTTAATCAATGAAGCAAGAGGAAGCGATTCCCACCGACACACTCGGCAGTCGGTGGAGTTTTTCTGGACACGCTCGCTGAGCCGTCATCGGCTCCTCTGTGAGCATTGATTCCACACCTCGGAGCTAATTCCCGCCGCGCTCCCCGTGCGTCCCATCAGACACGCGCCGCTGCAAAAGCGTCCTTGTCGGCCTCGAGTCGGTGTTTCGGGGTGACACAAAAACACAGGGAAGATTTAAGCCTCGCCTCAAGATCGGATGGTGGGAAGCTGGAAACGGACAGAGGTGTTCCTAACTGCACTTAGACCACAGACTAAATCAGCCATGGGTGAACAAAGCGGAGTGGCAGATTATTACCAGGGTAACTGGGACGACTTAAAGCAAATGTGATGCAGATTGATGCCGCAAGCAGGGCCAGTCAAAACATAACCGCGGCCCTGAGCAGAATTTGATCTGGGGCCACCACTTCTTGTAAACACGGTTCTTTCTAATGACCAAATATCTTTACTTCATTTTGACATTGATCCAGAAAGAAAACATATTTTGTGTCTAATGAAATCTCAAGTTTCATTTTGACATTTAACATGATAAATTTCTGTTTTGTTATTTTATAGATATAATAGATTATTTTTATAGTTTTGCCACCATTACGTCTCTTCTTGAGAATGTTGACAAGCAAGTAAAGCGCTATTCATGAAAGAAAGCGTTTTTTTTCCCTTTGAGGAACAAGTAAAAAATTTTTTTATAAATTTATATAAAATTTTTTTAGACTTTCCAAAATAAAAGCTACACCTTAAATCCAACAATTGGATTTGGTTAAATGTTCAAGTTTAACAATACTGCGACTAACTAGTTTCAAAATAAAAACTATTTCTCAAGCCGACAACAACCTCTGATTAGTTTCAGAATTTACAAGTGTAATTCTGAAGAATTTCAAAATAAAAGCTTCCACTTGACTCACAAGACTATATTTACTATCTATTAAAACAAAAAGTTACCAGGTTTAAGTTTAAGATCCAAAGCTATCACTCAAAAGTGAGAAAATCACTAGTCACAGGTTTGAAATACAAGGTTTTGCTTCAAACTGACAACATCTGGTGACTTTCAAAATAAAAACGACTGCTGTTGAGTGCCCCCTGCTGGTCTAGAGGACCTAAGATTTAACTGTAATAAAAGTGTAAGGAATAAGTATAATAAAAGGTGATTAATTTTAAAATGTTTTGGGGGGTATTTCCATGAAAAAACAAAACATTTTTGTTTTGCACAATTAATTCGAAGCCTTTCGAGAGTTTATGAGGAAAACAAAATGCGGAAACTTATACCTGTTTTATAAATCTGAAGGTGGGGCAATGATAAAAAAAAAAATACAAATTAAGTCATAATGTTCTCTGTAGTTTAATGGAGTCTT